AATAATTTTAACGGCCATTTAAAACCCGAGGGTCTACCATGTGCATAGTAAAGCGATCACTGCAGACAATCCTTTTAGGTGGGAATTAATGTAAACACAGATATCGGATACCAGTCGTGTCTAAAGTGAATGTAAACAGACGTGCCAAAAAATCGGATATGGTCAAAAGATCGGATCTGTGCATTAAGACTTGCAGTGTAAGCGCAGCCTGATTCGCGCGAACATAGACTCATTTAGGCAGATCGAGGGAGCATTCCCTTCAAAAACAAAGGTAATCCACTGCGAGTTTACCGGCTCAGATGTCAGGAGTAAATGACGACTGCTATGTTCATTATTACATCCAACAACAGAACACCTCAATCGCCTAGGAGCCATTCTTGTCTACATCTGCTCCGGCGGTGAAACAATGGCGGACTGATGACAGCTCACTCAGGGCGGGTCTAAGGTTAGACACCAGTCCAGTCTGTGCTAAAACGCTACTGTCAATCAAACCATCGTGGGAGGGGCCCTCGGAGATCGGCTCGATTTGAGAAAGGGGAAATGATTTAACGAGATAAAAAAAAAACACTGGGTGGATTTTCATAATTTTAGGGTGGTTGTGTACACACACTGTCAACACACATTTCAGTTCAAACAACTTGTAAAAGTGCATGTAGCATCCTATGACCCCTTTAAAACCAGTCTAAACAGTTTATGTAACCGGCCCCAGATCGTCTGATCTCTTTTCCATTGCACTGCAAAGAAAACTGGCCAGCCGATAAGATTGTAGTTTTTTTGTCACATGCTGTTTGATTTACTTTATTCTTCATCATAAGCAGGTTAGGGTGGAGTCACATTTGCAAAATTTTGTGGGCAAAAAAGGGCCATTGTTCATTCTTAATAGTGTAGTGATGTATGAAGCACGGCTCACACAGAAGACACTTTCAACCCAAGCAGATTTCTGTTGGTCAAAAATCTGCACCCTCATGCATTAAGGGCTGGTCACATTACACTTTTTCGTTCCATTGACTTCTATTCATACACGCATGAATACAGAAGACAGGAAACGCAAGCATTTGCACATTTCACTGCATTTAGAAGTTTGAACTTGAACCCTGTAAATTTATATCGCATGAAGATGTGTGAACAATAGAAGACTGAAGTGGCCTCCTGAATTAAAAGAACGCAAACTTTAAATCTGCAGGATTACATTGTTGCAGTTAAGTGAAGTATATTACATATGTTTTATATTTATTATATGTAAATCTGTTAAAAGAAAATGTTTCTATGCCAAAAGTCTAATGTGACCACTGCTTTTACTTCCGACTTCACTCAAGAAATTTCGCTGAGCGAAAAAAAAAAAAAAGTGCTGATGTAAATTCGCTGGTAAATGTGGCCGCACATTAATTATTAGAAACAGAAGCTTCAGCTTTGAGCAGCGTTGCTTTGTGTAACCAATGTTTACTTGGTTAACCAGGGTAACTGCTGTATTTATGCTTTTCTATAAGTGCCACCTACTGTAAGAGAATGAATCTGCACTTTCATTCAGCCTGTCTGCCATTTTTTTTCTTTGGTCAGAGCAGGAAAAAAATAAATAAATAAAAAATGCATAACAAATTGCACGCAAAAAAATCCGAAATTTGTGTTGTTGTGAACAGGCCTTTAGGGCAGATGATACAAAACAGATCAAAGAACATCAAACTCTTAGGTTATTTATTTATTGCTCTAATTTACTAGTTATTTTTAAATGTCGGTGATTTTTTAGAGTACAAATATTCCATGCAGTCATGCTACAATATATTTTTTTATTAATATGGCCATAAAACGGCATGGATAGTAATAATAAAATAATTACTGTTCTTTAAAAACATTTTAGATAAAGTATAGTATGTCATCTAACATTAACAATAACAAAACGATAAATAATAAAATCCTATTATTTTGTTGAACCAGGTTAGAAAACCACATCAACCCTAGAAAGACCATAGGGCACAGAGACCACTAAATATTCCTCACGCAACATGCACATTACCTGGTAGATTCCCTGCAAAGTGCTCATTTACTGCGCTTATGGCTCATCCTGTGCATCTTTATTATAAGAGGTTGTTTTGTTTTGCAGTAGCAGTTGATGGGCTGGAGATGAACCACAACTCTCCGTCTTCTGCCTCTCCAGACAAAGCGTACAATATTCACACACAGCAGACGCACACACCTCCCGCAACGACTACAAATGTCAGACTTTTTGATTCGCGTTTTGAACGTGTCATTAATTTTCTCAGCACAAATGCACGCACGCACACACTCCGCACTTCCCGTTCACAACCACAGACTGAAGAAGTCTTGATGCTCCGACAGCTACATTGACGACCTGCGCCACCTACCGGACTGGATGATCATGTTTACATCACGTCTGATAGTTTTTATATTTATATAGATCTTGTGTGTGTGTGTGCGCGCGCGCGCGTATATATATACATGTTTTTTTATATAAAGATAAATGTTAAAAAATTAACTAATTTAAATTAAAAACATGGAAATGTTTACATAATACACTTAACAGCTTTCTTGTTTATCAGATTATAAATAAATAGATTTTGTATTCTTTAACTTGCATTTATGTATACTAAACTTTGCAAACAAAAGTAACAAATAAATCAATATTATTACTTATGGAATGACGTAAGTGGAAAAAAACAAACAAATATAATATTTTCAAAACGTAGTTGAAAACTGTGCATAATGTGATCTTTAACAAACGAGCAGAAATCTAACCAAAAACCGGCTGAATAAGGACAACTCCAAAACTATTGAAAAAAAAAGAAAAACTGTATGTAGACCACTAAATGTACAACGCATGTCAATATCGCAGTTAAATCCGTTTACAAGGAAATGGTTACTGGAGTAATATTTATAAATGAGTTTGAAAGATATTTCTTTGCTATTATTGTTGTTTTGTTTAAATATTTATGAGGTAGTAATTTCCCAATTCTGTGCCATATCAAACCATCAAAAGATATAATCACGTCTGATAGTTACCCAGGTGAAAATATGTGTTAAATAATATAGTAGCCTACTGTCGTTAATTACGTCGTGTGCATGTGGTGGAGTAATAACTTCTGCTAATTAATTGATTCAAGATCGCAAGTAAAATTCAGATTATTCTAGTTTATTTACACGAAACATCAAAAAGCTTTTTTAATGTTCTTGGTTTCTTCTGGTGAACTAATATCTTGTATTGTCAAGCTACATTCAGCACGAGTTTCTGTCTGGGCAAATGGGCAAGCAAAAAGAGTGACTTAGCTTCAGTGTTGCCAAATAATTTTCAGAGAAAGTTGCTAAAGGAAGGTCGATTTGTTGCTAAAAGTTGCTAAATTATCTTATGATGTCCTTGTGCGATGATGTCACTGCGTAATCAAGATGCAAAATTGTCACAACATCAAATCTCAGCAAACAACTATTGTATATATGTTAATTTAGATTTGTTTGTAAAATAATATGCATAATATAATAAAATATGAATAACTGCATTTTAAATACATTGAATTATTGAACACTTATTGAACGTTTTTTTAATAACTAGTAAACTACTACACATTCTCAACAATTATGCTTTAAGCAGTGTATTAGTAGTTAGTTAGTATGCTACACTAGTAGTAGAAGTAGCAAAGTGTAAAAAATAGGGCACAATCTAATATGTTAATATTATGGATAATGGATAATATATCCTGGAAAATAACTAGTATCTTTTTCATTTTTCTTACAGTGTACTAACTGAACAACAATCACAGGTACAAGCTACTAACAAAGTGTATCATAAATTAACAATTATTAGATTATTAAATTATTATTATTATTAAATTGAACCAGTGCAAATAGCAGCTAACTTAATTCACATGATGCGTGTACTGCTAGGCATCTTCGGTTTCCTCTTTTTGTGTAATTTGGATGGAAAATGTGTGCCTTTTTATTGTCTGAGTCACTTATCAAAAGTTGCTAAAAGTTGCCAAATACATTTTTAAAATAGCCACATTTATTACACTTCATGAGCATTTTAGCCCTTTATTTGAATAAACCTAGCGTCATATCACAGAACACAGAAATTTAAAGGTATTTACACCGCAACCCATCAAAATAAGTTTGGTTTGACTTGAAGACATTGTGCCTGAAATATTACTATTATTCAGTAGAATGTACTGTAATACTACTACTACTACTATTACTACTACAAAAATGATTAAAACTTTAATTTTTAAGGAATAAATCACACAATATTTCTGCCATGTTTTAATGTTAATAGTAAATCCCTTTTGTTTGCCAAAAATTAAGTGTTTAATTTTCAATAATTAAAAAATAAATGAAATTTATGTTGTATGCCTTCAATTGATAACCAGAAAAATGTAAACACACAACACAGAATTTCTGAGGAAAAAAACATTTCACAAGGCTATTTTAAGAATAAATTTGAATAAAGTAAGTTGTTTTTACGTATTCAAATGATTAGACATGCTAAAACAGAATTTGGTAACAATAAAACTTTCATTTCATAGGGCCCTAGGCATGTAGTTTTTGTTAAACCTTTAATAAATTGATGTAAAATGTAATAAGTTTCATGATTTTAATTAATTAGACATGCTTTTTGATTAATACAAATTAATTTAACCATTAAAAAGGGGTCCAGAAAAAAATGGAATCCAGAAAAATGTAAACGAAAAAAAAAAACAAGGAATTTGGGGAAACTGATTTCATAGGGCCCTAGATACACTGCGGCGCTGAGCATCGACAGAAGCGGTCACCTGACTGAGGTTGAGTGGTTGAGATCTGCTGGGCTCCTCCTGTTGGTGGTCAGTGACACTCTCTCCAGAGCTGCTCGGCTGCCTTGCGACAGCGGCTCTCTTAGGCTTCATGTAGTAATTCTGTGGAAGAGCTGAAGCAAACACGACGAATGCAGTTTTTAGTGATGCATTTCTTTTATAAAGAACTGACCAAGCTATGGTGAATAAAAATGGGACAACTGCTAATACTCGCCTATAGCCGATGGGATTTTGGCTGATATTGAGCTTTCCACAGGCTGTGCTTTCACAGATGGAGCCACCACTGCCAGGGATTTGAAGAGTCGTGAGGACTGGACCCTCGCGTGACCGTTCTGGATCTTGGGAGTCAGAGGACTGGCGGTGGAGGAGTCCGAATCGTGAACTGTTAGACAGCTGATCACATTAGTCCTGTGGCTAGGGCCACAGCTGGAAAAAAAAAAAAAAAAAAAAGTTATTTAGGAAATTTCACATGGATTAAATTATTTAAAAATGTGTTTCACTGAAATTATATGGAGCTACTTCACATTGTGAAAAGAGGAATTGGACATTAGCCTCTTTCACACATACAGACTTTACTGGTAAATTACTGTTAAGAGATAATGTGCGAACAGGACCTTTTCAAAAATACCGGTAAAAAGATGGAACATCGTTGCCTGTGTGAACAGCACATTTTTGTATTTACCGGTAAAGTTGTTCCGGTAATTGTATGGAAATTTACTGGAATTTCTGTGTAAAAGGGACTATTGTCAGACTGTAACTTATATTGCATTAAATGCATATATTCCAGTTCAAAAGATAAGATATTTCTGAAAGAAGTCTCTTGTGCGGATCAAGGCTACATTTATTTACAGTAAAAATACAGTAATACTGCAAAATATTGTATCATTTAAAATAACTGTTTTCTATTTTAATACATTTTAAAATGTAATTTATTCCTGTGCTGCAAAGTTGAATTTTCCAGTCTTCAGTGTCACATGATCCGTCAGAAATCATTCGCCTTGTACGAGCAGGTGCTTCATGTGGGACGCGGGGGTGGGGTAGGGGTACAGGCTGGGGGTGCTGGTGAACGACGGGGCCTCCTGGAGACAGTAATGAGACGAGGCCGGCGGGTACGTGTGCTGTCGACGCAGGGAGGACGAACCACCGGATGGTTCTTGGGACGAGGAGACAGTGGTCTGGAAAAAAGGAAAACAGGAAACTGAACCACATGTTCTTTACGATACGTAGAACCCTATGATTTTCGCAATGCGGAAAACGCATACGGAATCGCAGAATACAATCATAAAAACGGAATTTACTGTACAATGCAGAATGTCACGGAATTTGTCCAATTTTAAACGAGTTAATCAAAAGTAGGTCATTACTAGGGCTGGGTATCGATTCAGATGTCCCGACTCGATTCGATTTTGATTCGCAAGCCATCGATTCGATTCGATTCTCGATTTTTGATTACATTCAGTGAATATAGTTTTAATACAAATGCTATTGATATTTCTAAAAAATGAACAGTAAACATCAGATTACAAATGGTGAATTAATAAAAAGAAATTAAGCCACGTGCCTGTATTTTAAACCTATACTTTTTTTTGTATGGGTCCTTTTTTAAACAATAATAGGGCCCTATAAAATGTTCTTAATTTTTCTGGTAATCAGATGAAGGCATAAAACATTAATTTAATTTATCCTAATCAAATGAAAATTAAACCCTTTTATTTTTTGGCAAACAAAGTGCTGCACAACAGAGGTTTACTGTTAAAATTAAAAAGAAAACAGATGTGATAATTCCTTTAAAAATAAAGATTTATTAATATATATTAGCAGTAGTAGCATTGAGTCTTAAGACTGCTAAATAGTAATATATTCTGACAGTAGAACGTTAAACTAAACATTTATTTTGACGGGTTGCCGTGAAGAACTTCCAGCTGCTGTGTATGTGATATGACGGTAGTTTTCTCAAATGAAACGGTAAAATGCTAATGAAGTGACTCTCAGAGCAGCTGGAGATGACATTCGTGTTCATATCATCATATAGTGAGACGACAAGCTGAAAACACCGCGAGCGTCATCCACGCTTTAGTATGTGT